TTCTTCCACATAGCCAAAATGATTACAGTTCCCCGGGAAACACTGCTAGCTAGCATTACAGTTGTCTGCTCCGTTGTAGTTGTGAAGACCTTGCAGTAAGGATACCCCATACGAGCAACTTCAAGTTATCAGCTATCCACCGGAAGTCACCGGGTCTTGTATTTCTTTGCAGATCCTGCATTGGTAGTTCGAGTTAGCTAACAGTTGGCACATTCGCAGTACACGTAGCAATTTCATCAGTATGGCTGACTGCAGATCAGTTGTCTTCTCTTCTGTATGTCTGCAGCCCAGAACTGATTCTTGATTACAGGTGTTAGTAAACACGACGAAAACGCTGTAAAACACACGTTATGATGCTTCAATCAAAAACGTTTGAGGCAGTGAAGTAATAGTTACTTGCAAACTTGAGTATTAGATTCATCAATGAAAAAGCTAATGTTGTTAACAGGTGCTGGTGTAGGAGTGCGCCGGCGGGGAAACGGATCCGCAATGCTGAACCCGACCAATGGTGACCCAGGTCACGTTGTTGTGAACTATGTGGAGGAGTATTTGGACCTTGTGGAGTCCCTTCCTTTTGACTTGCAAAGGAGCGTGTCCCTCATGAAGGAAATTGATGCCAAGTATCAAGGTAAAGATTACCCTTTGATGTTTACATTTGTTTAGGTTTCATAGTGAAATAATTTATGTGTGTGTGTGTGTGTGTGTGTGTGTGTGTGTGTGTGTGTGTGTGTATATATATATCACATTAAATTTAATAAAGTCTAGAAAGATTTGTGATTTAAAGTGTGCATTTTACAGGTGAACAAATGGATAGGATGGTTAACCTACAGCCACACAGTAGTATATACAAGTGTGTAATCGCCATTGTATGTACTACAGTAGCAGTTGCTGTATTATATACCTTGCAACCGGCAATTAAATACTGTAAGGCAAGGCAAGGCAAATTTATTTGTATAGCACAATTCAACAACAAGGTGATTCAAAGTGCTTTACAGAGACATTAGAAACAAAAACAAATAAAAAGCATGATTTAAAATTGATTAAAACAAGCAAACAAACAAACTAACTAAACACACACATTTCACACCTGTTCGCGCGATCTGAACCCTTATCGTAAGGGGAGCTACCAGTCCTTCTGTGGACGAGCTACTTTCTATTTTAAATTCCCTGAATTTAAAGTACTCTCTAGACCCAGTTGGGGAGCTACCCAGAGCTCTAATCCCACATGTATGATAGATACTTGATTTATCCTACAAGGGAAATCACTGTTTACAACAGTTGCATAAACAGTACAAATAAAAATATCCTGTGGCACAATGGGTTAACACTACTGCCTCAGAAGAAGGTCCTTGGTTTGAATCCAGTCTGAGACCTTTCTGTGTGGAGTTGGCATGTTCTTCCCAATGGCCTCCCTCCCAGTACTCTGGCTTCCTACCTCGGTGGTAAAACATACACGGGGTTAGGTGTATTGGTGATTGTAAATTCACAGTATGTGAGCTTGATGTGTTGTGAGCTCCTTGTGTTAGCCCTGGTGACCTATCCGAGGTGTCCCTCACCTCTCAGCGTATGACAGCTAGTTCCAGCACCTCTGTGATTCTGAATTGGACAAGCAGAAGAGAATGGATGGATAAAAGTATTGTATTTACTACAGTCCCATACTCAAGGACTTATTATGTGAGGTGGTGCAAAGTTTTATTTATAACAGTGATGAAATAAAGTAATTTAAGAAATTACATTAAATAAAAAAATAAAACATGAGACTATAAGAGATTAAGCAAAAGAGAAATGGTGCCATATGCACTACTAGTGCATATGGCATTAATAAATAACATTTACTTGCTATGTATAATTACATTACTATAATATTTGCACCAGATGTTAATCAGCTTTTGGCAATCAGTTTAATCTCATTTTTAACCACATAATACATGATCGAAATACAGTGTTTATTTAGTTACAGTAAACGTTAGTGACACTTGCTTCCAGAAGATTTTGATTAAAACTGTAATGTAGTAGTAATGCTTGAGTGTTAACTTTGCCTGACATATTGTCAACTGTCTGAAAGAAATCCAAAGTAATACAAAAGATTGCAATGATTTATTTTTCTTCCTTTTCAACCTGTAGTCATGCTGCTGCTCCGTCTGTTTTAATGAGGGTTAAAAAAACAACAACAACAAGTATACTATTGAACATGGGGTGTATTTCGGTTCTGTTCTTTTTTTTTTTTTTTTTTTTTTTTTTGGTCAGATGTTCTGAAGGAGCTTGATGATGCTTATGAGCGGTATCGCCGTGAATCTGACTCCCTTCAGAGGCGCAAGCTTCAGTTGTCTATTCAGAGGGCGCTGATTCGCAGTCAGGAGCTTGGAGATGAAAAGATCCAGATTGCTGGTCAAATGGTACGTGGAAGAAAAACTGGACAAAAAAGTAGCTTTCGGGTCTTAATGTGTGTATTGATGAATCTACGTTACTCTTCTTCTGTGACATATGTGCAAGAACGCTTACCCTGATTAATGGGTTTTATGGATCTTTTGTATCAGGACTGAATGAGCTTTATGTTTACATTTTTTGGAAATCTGTTGTAGAAAGAAAGAAAAAAAAAAATCTAAACATTTACAAGACTCCAGCAGTAAACATTAAATAACTCTGTTGTAGATACAAGCTAGGCAGTTACCAGAAACACAACACTATGTTTGACCTTCCTGTTTGGCATGTTTGGTATGTCAAAGTTCAGTTGGGTTGTGTTCCTTTTGTGATACATAATTAATGCTTTGATAATAATTTCTCTATGAACATTCACATTTATATATATATTTTTTAAACTATTTTCAGGCTCTTGCCTTTATATGGATAGCACAGTAGCGATAAACAGGAAATGGGGTACAGAGGGAATGACATGCAGGGAAGGACTGGGCGACCAGGAGTGGAACCAGATACGCTGCTAAAATCCTTTTAGTCCATTTGGCACGCATCCCTCCCTCTACAAACACAGGTTTACTCTGTGTAAACCTGTTTATAGTAACATTTGTAAGCCCCTAGACGTCAGCTAAGCCTAAACTGCTGAAAGCATGAACTTCTTTCTAGTTAATTCAGCAAAGAAGGCAAAATTTATGTTCAACAAATCTTAATCAGAGTTGGCTTTTTAAAACGTACAGTGCATCCAAGGGAGCTACAGATTGTCTCTTCACAAAAACATAAACCAAAAAGGATTTAGGCTTCACGATGATTAATGAGAGTCCTTTATTCGTGCAAGTTCAAGCAACATGGCTCGTGTGTTTTCAGGTTCAGCTGTTGATTGGCTCTGTCGGGGCACAGACATGGCAGATACTGATGTAGTTTGGGGTTTCTCACATAGATTTGTATTCAGGATTATTTAAGTGTGATGGTTTAGTCTACATTGTCAAATAAATTAGGTGAACTTGGAAAAAATAAAAAACAAAACATGAATGTTCTTTCTTTTTTCCAGGTGGAGCTGGTTGAGAACCGAACGCGACAAATAGACTGGCATTCAGAACTACTCCTTTCCTCTCAAGAAATCCCAGAAAGTCACATTCCTCCGGCCACCTCCATGACAACCACTGCATCGTCTTTGATGTCCTCAACATCAGCTACAGTTACTGTGGGCAAACCCAGTCACCACGACAAGAAGCGTGATGAGGTCACATCATCTTCAGGCGGTGGAGAAAAGGCGGGAGGGAAACGCTCACGACGTCAGAAAAATGGAGAAAATCGGGAAAGCTACGGGGGTCTGGATCATGCTGAGGAAGTGGGAGTGGGGGTGTCTCGGGAAAAGAAGGCCAAAACATCTTCCAAGAAAAAGAAAAGGTCAAAAGGAAAATCAGAGAGAGAAGTGTCTCCTCCGGACCTGCCCATCGATCCGGATGAGCCAACATATTGCCTGTGCGAACAGGTGTCTTACGGCGAGATGATTGGCTGCGATAATGACGAATGTCCCATTGAGTGGTTTCATTTCTCCTGTGTCGGGCTCCATCATAAGCCTAAAGGCAAGTGGTACTGCCCGAAGTGTAGAGGCGAAAACGAGAAGACCATGGACAAAGCCTTAGAAAGGGCTAAGAAGGAGAGAGCCTACAACAGGTAGCTCACCTGGCCCCATGAACATTCCTGTGTGAAAAATGTAATTTTATCTATATTAGTCTTCATTTCCAGTTAACAGTGTTTGCTAAAAAAAAAAAAAAAATCCACGAAGAGAGGGGTGTTGTAAATAGTTATTTTTGTAACAGCTGTGTACCTGAGAAACGAGAATGCCATCTCCTGGTTGTTTACAAACAGTAGCTGTAGTACAGTACACAACCATGTGCATGTTTGTAACAAGCTGTCCTGCACATCATCCCTCTTTGTGTTCATCTTGCATGCAACATCACAAGCTTAACTATATAAACTCAAATAAAAAACAAAGTAGAAACATGAATTCTGTGTTCTTCAACACTACTTTATAGTCAACACTCAAAGTTCACTGTGTGATGATTTCAGATGCATCGTTTTCTGTAATCATTGATCTGTAATTACAACTGAATTGCGGCTTACTGCATTTTACTAGAACATTGTACAAGAGCAACATGGATGCTACTTTTATGATAAAATGAGATGTTTAAAATGTATTTAATGAGTTTTAGGTAAAAGCTAATGATTCTCCAGTATTGCATAAAGAACTGTCAGTTGAGAGTGCATTTTAACTTATATTGAATATAATTTTATTTTGCTGTTTCAACAAAGATCTCAAAATAAGACCATATATAGTGGATTTTCTGGCATCACCATCTCTAGAAACAGATCTTATGAGAACTTTAGCTTTACTGTGATCCACTTTCCCAGACAAGGCCTGATTTAGACTGACTGACTAGCCTGACTACGAATCTCCGTAGAGCCTACGACATACCCTACGCAAGTGGCCGTTGTTGCTACGAACATTTATGCTCAAACCTTGGAAAGTAAAATAACTTGTGCACTAACAACTTGAAAGAAAATGCATATCCATACAAGGATGACTTTGCCTTTTTTTTTTTTTATTTACAAGTACTGGAAAAGGTGACATGGGGACAACCAGTGCAAAATCTGTACATAATTTCAGTTGCAGGTTTCTTATATACACAAGTGAACGGGAAAGTGAATACACTCCGTCATGCATGTAACAGTTCACAACACAGCCAAGGACATGGTGTAAAGGTGATTTAATTGTAGTCTGTGATAATCAGGCTGCTCAGTATCCAACTGCCTTATGAAAATAAACTGACAACAAATCAGGCTCACAACAGAAAAGGACCCATGACTTAACGATGTACCCTCTTGAGACAAAACAATTAATCATGGAGTTATTAGAGCAAGTTGGAACACACCAGGATTTTAAGTAATGGCCCTCAAGTCCATAATGATATTACATCAAGGCAAGATTCAGCACATTTCCCCTGATGAACTTAAAAAGGGGGCGAGAATAGAAAAAAAAAAGGCCCTCTTTGTTGGGCAGGAACAAGATGTTTTATGATGGAAAGTTGAGGGTAAAGTGCATAAAAGCTTAAAATTAAAAGAGGGGAGGGTCAAAAAATTAAGAGGTATTCCACTAAAACTTGCAGCACACACAGCTTAACAATGGACGGAGAGAAGCAATCACAAGTATCAGGTCAACTGTCTCTCCAGCTTTGTTCTACGATGGCAGAGACGCGTTTCTCATATTCTCGTTTGTTCTCCTGGTACAGCTGAGCTGCCTGGCTGTTGGCCGGACTGTTGGGGTTTGGCTCATCAAGCAGGGACTGCAGGGGGAGAGAAGATTAATACAGAAGGCGAGAATATTTAAATGGAAAACAACAAACCTGAATCAACTTATTCATCTACTCAATGTTATTGCACAATACTGAGAATTTTCCAGTTTGCCACTGTACTTTTACAAACTAAAATCTCTAATCTTTTGAATTTAATCATAAATTTAAATCTTCTATCATTTGTATATTGATTATTTTCATGTATTAACAGCACTTAATGAATCAACACTACATTATAAATGAGTTGCTATATAAGAAAATAATATTCAGAAATTCTCAGATGTTACCGATATGTTTAAGCTTACACTTTGGGACATTTGTTTAGTTCACATGATATGAGTGGAGATTATTCAATCAGTGGGTGGTCAGCTGCAGTCCTACACACTGACATTAAACTTAGTCTCAGTGGATGAGCCTGAATTTGCAGTAGCAGCTTTTCGTTTCTCAGAGAAATATATACATATTATTTCTATTATAATATTGCCACAATGATTTGGAAATGCACTTAATGTTTCCATAATCAAATTAACAATAATATGCCATAATAATGAAATCTTTTCTTTTACTGTTAAATATTGACACTTATTACCTGGATAGATGTTAGAATAGAAGACACATCATAAGTGGGGCTCCAACGATTCTGTAGGATGTCTAAACATATACTGCCATCCGCGTAGACTGTAGAGAAAAAACAATTATTAACAGGCCACAAATAACACTATAACGAGGCAGCAGGTGATCATGTTCTTACCATTTGGATGAAACATCTTTGACACAAATCGCACTGTAGGGGGTTTGTTGGGATATTCTTCTGTGAATTCTACGATGAGTTTAAATGTACCTGAAACAAAGGAACACATATGAGATTTTGGACCAACTGAGGACACTGTGGAGATGTGACTTGAGGAGTCTCTTTCAATTAATTCTATTCAGTGAGATTTTTGATTAAGTTACTACATTTAACTTTATCTATCTCCATATACAGTGGGGTACTTACCATCCTCAAAGGGAGTTCCTTCAGGGCTGCGAATTTAGAGAAAAGCGATATTTTGTCATTTGTTCAGACACAAAAATTAAGATCTACACTTCAGAACCAAATTAATTTCTTACCCAAAAATGACTGCATTCCACACCATGATGTTGTTTTCAGAAGGGGCACCACTGACACCAGCTGGAGGATCCTCTTGTAGACTGCATACCCAAAAGGTTAAGTAAATAAATACACTGAAGCAAAGTTTCAAGGCCTCAAAGGTAATGACCAGAGACTGTATTTCTCCACTGAGTCCACAGAAAGGTGTATTTCACAATCAAATGTCTCCTTTCATTGTCTAACCACACCCACATTTATAAGGTCAAACAAACATACCATACTTGGAAACACAGCTGTTGCCATGGTTTCCTTTTTCTAACACAATGTGTCAGTGCCATTAATGATAAACGGTAGGAACTATTATTTACTAAATACAGAATTAGTTACATCATGAGCGACAAAGATGCTTATATTGTGCCTGCTCAAAGTTAGCTGTTAAAATTTAAAATTACCATAACTACCTAACTTGCAATGAAGCCTCAGAAACATTATATAATTGTTCTGCTGTGAGATGCTCAATCACTACCCATTTATTGGCACTTATCTCCACATAACTGAGTCACCTGCCTTCACAAAGTGTTGTGTTTATTCGGAACTTAAATCTTGGCCCCTCCACATAAAGATAAAAATACAAAACACAATGAAAATACAAAATACCCAGAAAACCGCAAAATTCACTGAAGATGAAACTAAACATGAATAAAAGAAAAAAATTAAAAAGCCATATCAGTAATAGGTTTGGGCTACACCATATCCCTCCCAAACACCTGGAAATACCTGCTCACATTCCTGAATCCTGATTTTTCAAATATGACATAATCAAAAGACCAGAGGCTCGCTTTACAGTGAGATCAAAACACGTTTAAGGACCCCGAAGAGGTCCAGTAACTCACTACGATAAACAGTTAGGATCTCTTACAAAGAAAAAAACCCCAAAACATTTTCCGTGGGCAGTGTTACATTACGGTTATAAAGGGACCTGAAGGCCAATACACGGCCTGGCATTCGCTTTGTTTTACTGTTGTTTCTCACCTTTGACATATTGATTTCTACTCGGAAATTTACATAACAATCTAACTTTATTCTGTTTCGCTTCTTGGCGTCATTATTTGCCCCATTAACTCAAACTTTTGTAAGTTTAAGACCGTGGGGATGCCGAACCGTTTGTGCTGGTCAACAACGCAACTATGAAGCGGAAATATAAGATAAACGGAAGGAATACATTCGTGGAGTACTGGGGTTGAATGCGTTGAAAAAAATGTTTAAACCATGAAAAATGTCCGTCCGGCCATTCCTCACGCATATTCAAAGCTAAAAGGTTTAAAGAGTCAGCTACGAGCTGTACGTTGACAGAAGCCTTAGTCAACCAACCTGCTAGCATTAGCTAGATCCGTTAGCGTCACGGAAAGACGAAGCGCTTTGAAAAAAAATATTTCACATAAATGATTCACATTCGCAGAAGCATACGATAATCTATAGCGGTTGCCTTGTGGTTGTTTTTACACAGGAAACTCCTAAAATTGACTATATCCTAAAAAAAAAAACAGCGATTAGCTATGTCGGGCTAGCACAAGCTGACAAAACGGCTAACGATGTCGGCATAATTCCTGTACACCAACTCACCGTTTAAAATCTCTCATAAGTCTTCTTCTGGCCGGGGTTGACATAGCTTAACTTGAAGAATACGTACAGACAAGGCAAAATAGTTGACAGGAGCTTATTTGCCTATATTATAGTTAATGTAATTTGAGAACGTTACAGAAACCTTACAGATGGGAGCCCGACTCTTCCGTCGTCCTATAAAGCTAATATGACGCTCTGGTTTGCGTACATAGATTTACACAGGACGATACCACATCAAGAAGGAAGGGGGGGGGGGGACATCTGCGATTGATTACTAAGCAAACCTGAAATTTCTAGCATGAAAATGTCAGTAGACATTTTGTGTTGTTAGCATAAGTAGTTTCTATAAAAACGCGGTACTTCCTTTCAACACGATAGATTTATCTAATACAATATTTTATTTGATTGGAATCAACTCCCCACCCCATTCGAGTTAAGGGTGGCGCGGGGCGTGGCCACGGTGACGTAGCCTCGATGACGGGAAGTTTGTGCTGAGCAGCTATGATGAAGGTCGGCCCTATGACAGCTGTGCCAGCACGTGAGAGTGCAACTTTTAAAGCAGTTTTCTGTATTAAGCGAGCACACCAGTAACTTTAATGTAGATATCTAATGGATAGAAAAAGAAAGTAGGATACCATGATTCTCTACACACATTATTTCATAAGCCATCTATGGCAGGAAGCAGAACAAGATGTACGGAGAAAAATCAAACTTTGGAAAGCCTTTTTTTAATGAATTACATCTTATGTGTTTCCATTTTTTAACATATTGAGACAAACAAAATTTCAGCACTGGCAGTGGTTCATCTCAAATGCTTACTTTAGTGTATTCAAAGAAAACTGCTATTTGTAGCATAAATCACAACAAGAACTAAACATTAACTTTTTTTGTCTTTAACAACACAAAAATCCACTTTTTACGCTGCTTTATTAATGCAGTTTCAGACCCATCCAGAACAGTGGCTCTGCTGTTAATAACAAAGAAATTCAATGATCGTGACCACTCTGTGGCTTTAAGGCGAATGAATGCTTGTTTAGGCTTAGATGAGTTTCAGGCAAAAAGGAAGAGGTGTCAGGAAGATCACTTTTGTATTTTAGGATCCATGGTAAAGAAGCATGGTGCTGAAGAGGGTGTGGTCATAGAACTGCTCCGCTTTCACAGACTTCAGGTGCTCCACCTGACTGCCTCCAGTGCTAATGATCTCAGGTGAGCCGCTGTGGATGTGGTGGTCAAGGAGGATTTCTGCTGTTGGGCCGTTTGAGAAAAAGTCCTCACAGTGTCTTTCACCTGCCACTGTAAATGAAACAAATAGTCAAAAGGGCAAACAAATTGTTTTGATCGTGTTCCTGACTCTAATAGAGAACAAACGAGGCAGGGGGCGATTTTGTTTTGCACAACTATTTAAAATTCTTTTTACTACAATTCTGTAAGCAGCCATGTAAAAATAATGTCTATTACATGGCCAGCTTTCAACACACATCAAGTGGTATCCAACTCTTTGGATTTTAAAAAAAAAAGAGATCAATAAATTGCGAAATAGACTCCACAGGTTTATGCAATCTCAAAAGTTTTGACCTGAGACCTTGTTTTAAAATAGGTCACGTCCTGATCTGTAGTAATTCTGACATACAATTTGCGTTGTACCACCATGACCTAGTTCTGTGTCATTTCACAAGAAAAATCACAAGTCTTTTAAGCTCCATGACCCAACATCACAAGCAGAATTGTAAAAAATGTCAAAGGCACTGTATTTGCAATCATCTGAAAAATGTAAGCATTTTAAAAAAAACAAAAAACAAAACACAGATGTTGTGAGACAGAAGAGAAAAAAAAAAAAAAAAAAAAGACACCAAGAAAACAAAGGCCACATTTATAAACTT